CCAGGGCCCCAGCAGGGTGGCACAGGGCAGGCAGAATGAAGGGACTGTTTGGCAATTCAGTCTTGGGCTGGGTTCAGGCTCTTCAAACATATGCAACTTGAAAAAAAGAGCGGCACCCCAGGACACTAATCCACACAGCAACCAGGTGTCCTCAAGCCACCCAACACTCCAGTTCACCATGTCACTACTGAGAAAGGACCTGAATCTTGAGTTTTCAACTAGTGAATGCTGAGCAGAGCTCTATAACCTGTGCTTCAAGACTTTCAGGTCCTAGATCAATTTGTAGGATGCCTACTCCAGGTCACAGAACTCAGTTTCTGTTCATTACCTGTTGATATTCAATACTATTCAACCCAGTGAGGACCTAGCTGAAAAAACACTGTTGTTTCTTAAGGTGAGTCATGGGTGTGCTGTGTGTGTGTGTGTGTGTGTGTGTGTGTGTGTGTGTACTTTAATCTTCTTCAAACCTGCTCTGTACTTTAAACAGATTTGCTCTCTGCTGCCAGAAGAAAAAAAATCAGTCTCTAGAGACCTGTTGCCTAAGTTTCTTGATAAAAAGACAGGAAAACAGATCTTCAGGGTATAAGTTCTCAATTGGCGCATTGCTCACCTGGGGCTGAGGCTTGCCTGGCTTTGGTGATGCTGCAGTAGGTAGGAGCCCTGGCATTGGCACTCATTACAGAGGTGACTGACCTGTAGACAGACTGGAAGCTACAGCCCAGACCAAAACAGCCCAGAAGCCAAGTTCAAAGTGTGCCACCTCTGTTGCTGCCCAAGTAGCCATGGTCTCACACTGCTCCATCTGGCAGAGCCTCCTGGGCAGGAGGCAGCAAGGATCACAGGTGACAGGTTGGGGCCTCCTTTCTTCCTTGGGAAGTCCCCATTTACACGGCTTCCTACTCTGTCAAATTCCAGGAACCATTCTTCAGGCACTATCAGCCTTCAGGCCATAAAAGCAAAGGAGCAAACTGGTTAAGTATGAGGTCATCACCGGATAATGGGTGCCCTGAGCCCAAGCCCTGAGCTCTCGGATCTCTCCAGGTACACTGTGAGTCACTGGACCTGGGCAATGAAAGCAGTTTTTAATCAGGTATCAGCCATCTCCCAGAAAACTACTGTATGTCTTCAAAGAGAGAAGAAGGAAAAATAGAGGATGCATTTCCTGGTCCCAGGACAGTGGAGTCAGTACTGGACTGAGTCATTGGTTTGCCCCAAACTTTGAAATCTGTTGCCCACGCGTGTTTTCCCAGAAGGCAGTGATATTTCTTGTTGTGACAGAGTGTGTGTGAGCCTGCACACAGCTGAAGAGCCCAAGGTAGGAAGGCAGGAGTGCAGTTAGGTCTCCACAGCATGGAGCATACAACCTCTATGCCCCTTATTTCTGTTAATAACACTACTGTAGAAGTCTTTCTTTTTTTGTCAGTGTTGAGATTGGATAATCTGCTTTCATTCATACCTGTTTTAAGTTTGGAGTTGTGAAAAGCCAACCCACTATTCACAACTTAATTTTAGCAGTCCTTTAAAAGCTTCCATCAGCACGAGGAGCACAGCTCCTTGTGCTCAGACACACAAAACCCAAATGCCCTGCTCATTTATCTTCAGGGTCAATATTCCCTTTATTGTCGTGTGACTCTGCAGCTGGGAATTACTGAAGTTCTGCTATATTCACTGTCACTTGCTAGGCCTTTTTCATAAGCTGTCCACAGATGAAGAATATTCTAGTTTAATACACAGAGCACTCTTATATGCTATCTGTCAACTTGAAATAAGCTCAGGGACCTGAAATAGGTTAATAGGTGGTTCCAGTTACACATTCAGCAGGGGTTGACACATAAGTAGCTGATCCCCATAAAATTATTAACACCAGTATCTTCTTCACTGAAGTCCCCTTTATTCCCAATGTTAAGGAAACTATCACAAGTGAACATGTGAACTTAGTTCATTTTCTGTCATTAAAGAAACTAACCTAGATTTGTTCACAAGCTGGCATTCCAGTGGAAGCCCATTCTTGTGACCTCTTCGCCCTGTTATTTCTTTTTGGGGAGAGAAATGCTATGTCTTACCAGCTCCCAGTTCTCTGAACAAAAATATCATCAAGTAAGTCCATAACCCACCCTACCTTGTTCTGTAAGAAAAAGCCCAACCCTACAAGAACTACTTTTATATACATGCACCTTTGCAGCTGATTCTAAACCTCTGCTTTGAGTCTGTACCATAAACACTTCTAAGAAAAAAAAAAAACTGTTCTGTAAAAAGAATGCAGTATAATGTGATTTTTGGAGAACCCATGATACTTTTAAACAAGTTTTTTTTTTTTTTTTTTTTTTTGGTCTTTTTCCTTTTTATCGGTACCGGGGATCAAACTCACGACTGCAAAGCAGGCACTTATGCCACTGAGCTAAATCTCCAGCCCCAACAAGTTTCTAAGGTAATTTCCATGCTTCACACCAAAGCCCAAGGACAAAATTCGATGAACGCAGGTTTTCTGTAGTTACGACACTGTTAATTCAAACAGATGCCAGAAGAAATGCGCTTATTTTAATTAATATAATTTTAGTTGGGAATGAAAATATTTTGAAAATTGTTCTACTATCCTAAGTCAGTACCTTTCCATTGTGAAACACAAGACAATTCTGAATCCATTTTTACTTCCAGGGACCCCTTCTTATCAACATACATCTTTGTGCTGGTTGGATTCTAGGTCTTCACGGACACATGAAAAAGCTGTGCGCTACCTGGCACATGGTAGATCAATAAATGCCTTTCCAAGAACAAATGGGTTCTCACTTTCTATAAGCTGAACTGAGGACCGGGACACCTCCAAGCATGAGGAGCCCGTGTACTAAACTCAAAGCCCCAGAGCCAGACAGTTTCTATGGTGTCTCTGCATCTAACATTCTATGAGCATTCACACTCTCCTTTTAACTCACATCTTTCTCTGCAGGCCAAAATCCAGAATTAAACCGCATAAATCACTGGCTACTACTTCACCTTGTTTACATTTGGAAACAAGGTTCTCTACTTTCTTTGATCCTCCATTGACATTCAGTGTTGAGCAGCATTTACCAAAGGATGAAAGTCTAGAAATTATAGTCAAAACCTTAAGACCCCAACCATCAAAACCAGAACCGGGAGAGCAGGAAGTTAACCCCTAGCTGCAGGGAAACGTAAAGGTTGGAGTGTTCAAAGTGGCTTTTTGGTGTTCTTGGGAGCTATTCTGTGTGCATTTGGTATTAAAAGCAGGATGTGGGCAGTGCAAAGCGATAAAACTTAATCTGGCCTTGCCGGCCTCACCTCTGAATCAAAGCCACAGGTTCCTGGGAAGGTGAAACTGGGGCTGGCTACCCACTTCATCATGCAGGTCTGGGGCAAGTCCTCACACTGCGGGTCAGTGCTCTGGTAGGGAGGCTGCACTACCGCTCCCTGGCCTCCTCCCTTGCCTTTCCTGGAAGAAAGAGGTGGCCCTTGGTTGTCATCGGTAGTCCTTCACCTCCATAGCTGCACTATGATCAACCCCCTCAATTTATACCAAGCAAAAACGGAGGGTGGGAAATGGACTGTCCCACATAGTTCCGAAAGAAGCTGGATCCTAAACAGAAATGAAACAAAACTGCCAAGAAAGAAGTGTGCTGCATTTGTTTCAGGTGATGCCTAGTAGAACTGGATTAACTGAATCAGTTAACTCTTAAGATCTCCGCATCCCCTGCACTGTGGCCACTCAACTGCAAGGATTAACTGTCTGAAGTTGCTCAAACTGCGCGCACACACACAGTGGAGAAACCCGCACTTCCCCATGAGTGCTGTTTGAATGCAATACCTTCTCTCCACATACGCTTTCCTGCAATTTCGACAGAATGAAAACTGCACAAAACAAGCCTTATAATGTACTCTCCGCCTAAAGTGTGTCCATCACTTATTTCTATCATTCTGGTCGAGGATTACAAGACATTCACAAGTTATTAGGCAGCAGCATGTCACTAAACTTCAAACTAGAAGTTAAAATTTCAAAAGACAGAGTCCATTAATATATATGGAGAGAAATACAGATCCCAAAAATCTACAAAAAAGATTAATTGTGCTGCTAGCTAGACTATTAACAGTAAATTGCTGACACAACGCCCTACAACAGATAAATTAGAAGGTGGCAACAAATGTTTCCAGGTGTTTATTTAACTGTGATAATTACTTCTGTCTTTAAAGACAGAGTCATACGTTTACACTGTAAAGCACACCGTTCCTTAGTTAAAACGCCGTGGAAACACTTTTGTGTAACACAGTATTCGCGCTGGGGTAAAAGTCCCTGCGCAACGAGCAGCGCCCGGCGCGACTTTTCAGTACCTAACTGGCCCGAGCCAGCGTTCAAGGGCTTTCGGGTCTCCGCGCTCTTCTGCCTCCTGCGGCCTCGCAGCCTGGCTACGAGGAGTGAAATCCCTTTACTCAGAAAGCCACTCCCCGGACGGGACCTCTGACACGGAGCCTCATCAGGAAAGCCGAGCAGAGTCCTTCCAGCGGTAGCCACCGTCCCGGCAAGAGTGCGCCGAGCGGCAGGGCGCGGAGACAATGGGGCCGGGACCTCGGAAAGCTGACGACGCGAACAGCCCGGAACCCGTCGGGCGGGTCCCTACCTCCGCAGAGCCAGGATCCACTTCGGAGGTGCGGACGCGCTGCGCGGCGGGAGCCCTGAGCCGCGAGCCCAGCCGGCGGGGCGGGGCGGCGCTGCCAGGCCCGCATCGGCTCCCCGGCCCGGCTGGCGGACGCCGGAGCGGCCGGAGCCCACGTGCCGCCGGTTACCGGGACGACGCCCACGCGCAGCCCGGGTTACTGGGGCCGGAGCCGGGGCTGGGGCCGAGGCGGAGGGGCAGCGGCCGCCGGGAAGGGCGCTGCGAGGAGCCCCTGGAGTCTCCTGGGCCCGCGCGCCCACCCCGTCCCAGGAGCTGCGCCCGAGCCCGGAAAGTCGCGAGTCACAGGAGCCCGCGGGGAACAGGCGCCCAGGTACTCACTCGGAGGAGCGGCCGCGGGCCGGGACCCGAGACGCGAGGAGCAGCTGAGCGCGAAGCGGACCCGCGAAACACTGAGGGTTGGCGGGCGCGAGGACCCCCACAGGACCGCGGCCGGGAGGGCGGGAGGCACGGAGCGGCGGGACGGGCGGGGCCGGGGCCGGGGCCAGAGCTAGGGGCTGAGAGCGGAGTGGGGCGGGGCTGGCTACGGAAGGCGGAGACTGGGAGGAGCCAGGCGGGAAGGGCGGGAGAGGGCGGGCTACGGGCAGAGAGCGGAGGGGGCGAGGCTGGAGTGAGGAAGGCGGGGGAATAGGAGGAGCCTGGCGGGAGGGGCGGGAGAGGGCGGGCTAGGGGCAGAGAGAGGAGGGGGCGGGGCTGGCGTGAGGAAGGCGGGGGAATAGGAGGAGCCTGGCGGGAGGGGCGGGAGAGGGCGGGCTAGGGGCAGAGAGCGGAGGGGGCGGGGCTGGAGTGAGGAAGGCGGGGGAATAGGAGGAGCCTGGCGGGAGAGGCGGGAGAGGGCGGGCTAGGGGCAGAGAGAGGAGGGGGCGGGGCTGGAGTGAGGAAGGCGGGGGAATGGGAGGAGCCTTGCGGGAGGGGCGGGAGAGGGTGGGCTAGGGGCTGAGAGCGGAGTGGGGCGGGGCTGGCTACAGAAGGCGGAGACTGGGAGGAACCAGGCGGGAAGGGCGGGAGAGGGCGGGCTACGGGCAGAGAGAGGAGGGGGCGGGGCTGGAGTGAGGAAGGCGGGGGAATAGGAGGAGCCTGGCGGGAGGGGCGGGAGAGGGCGGGCTAGGGGCTGAGAGCGGAGTGGGGCGGGGCTGGCTACAGAAGGCGGAGACTGGGAGGAACCAGGCGGGAAGGGCGGGAGAGGGCGGGCTACGGGCAGAGAGCGGAGGGGGCGGGGCTGGAGTGAGGAAGGCGGGGGAATGGGAGGAGCAGGGAGGGGCGGAGCGGGACAGCGGAGCTGGCTGAAAGCCAAAGCTGTGATGTGAGCGGGAGCTCTCGGGGGCGGAGCATGAGTGGGAATGCGGGGGAGAAGGGCGGGGGCGGGAACGCTGGAGGGGCGGGGCGTGGGCCGGAACACGGGGAGCATGTGGCGAGAGAGGCGGGGCGTGCGCGGGAGCGGACTCTCTTGGGTCCGGAGCAGTTGTGCCGGGAGGAGCCGCCTGACGTAGGGCGGTTCCCCGAGTGAGTATCCCCTGTAGCTGTATAGCGGCGCGCACGTGAGCGTCTTGCCTGGGTTTGAGTTGGTGTGTCAGTGCTGGCTTCTGCTGCCCTGATGGTAAGGATGGTGCTGGTGATGCTGACCTTGACGATCCCTGGAAGTTTCTGGGTGCTGGCTGCTTTTCTGCGCTTATTTGTTTTTGGCTCTACGTACACCCAGTGGCGTCTGTGACGCTCAGACGCCTGCTTTTCCCGAGCTAGAAGCTCGCTGCCCCCAGCCTCCTCCACTCTGTCTGGAGCGGGCACCTCGGAGTCCCCCTTCGATGAGAAGGGGTCTGGGCTGCCTTCTCTAGAGCAGCCCTACCCCGCAGCGGGTCCCAAGAGCGAGGGACTTCCGTAAGAACCTGCTATGTGGCAAGGCTGTGTAGGGAGTAAGACTACTAGTAATATTAGCAAGCCTTAGTATCTGCACGTCTCTGCCCTCATCCTACAGTGCACGTCTTATGGGCACCTCGGATATACAAAGAGATAGGGATACTGAAAGTCTTAGTTATTTTTCTCCTTACTAAAACAAAATGCCTGACACTCAAAGGAAGAAACGTTTATTTAGCTCAGTTTGTAGAGGTTTCAGTCCATAATCAGCTGACTCCAGCACAGGGTACACAGGGCAGAGGGGTTCATGGCAGCAGGCGATGCCAAAAGCAAGCAAAGGAAGATTAAAACACGCCTCTTTCTGTCCCATAGATTGTATGCAGTCTACCAGGATTAGGGCAGTGCCAATCCAATCAGTGGACTGAGCAATCACCCACACTTAATCCCAGCATTGCGCTATGAATTAATCACACACTACATTCAGCCATCTCCAAAAAAAAAGCCTGCACCCCTTAACATCATGAGGCATTGGTAAGGACATCTTAACACAGTGCATAACAGTGAAGTTAAAATAGTTTGTCCAAGGAATGTTATACATTTAGCAAATGGCAGGGTCTAGCTGAGAGGCAAGTCAACTTTGGATAGGTGAAAGACTAAATCAACACATTTGAGTTTGATAGAAACAGAAGTTATAAACACACAGGAAGTGCCTAAGGGGCCCTTTGTAGCTATAGGGAGCAAGGTGGAGGAGGTGGTGTCTAAACTAGGGTAGGCTTTAGAGCTCCGTGGGTGAGTGCAACTAAAGAGCAATAAACATTTTCCAGCATTAAGCACTGGAGAGGTGTAGTGGTGGTTATAGTGAAGCTTAAGAATGGGACCGAAAGCAAGGACTTTTCAGTTTGGGAGCTAAAAAGCATACTTTGACCCTGGGTTAAAAGGAAGCCAGTGAATTTTAGATATGGAAGACACACCCAGTGTTGTGCTACAAATGCTAAGCTACAAACAGCAGAAGATTCCAAAGCGGAGAATTGTTCATGAATTTTTAAAAAATATGTCAGGGTATAATATCGTTGTAGGCAGAATAATGATGCCCTGAAATTTGTACGTTCCTTAGTCCCCAGAACCTGTAAGTAGGCTACATTACCTGGCATAAGGTGCTTTGCAGGTGGGACTCATAGCACTGAGGTGAGGATCTTATCCTGGATGAGTTAGGTGGGCCCAAACTAATCACAAATCTCCTGCAGTAGAAACATGGATCTAGGGGCTGGGGATTTAGCTCAGCAGCATAAGTGCCTGCCTTGTAAGCATGTGGTCGTGAGTTCAAGCCCTGGTACCAATTAAAAAAAAAAAAAACATGGATCTTCCTTTACCTAATCAAGGCTTGTGTTTCTCCAGGTTGTCCTTTAAAAGTGGAATGGCCTGGGGGTGGTGACAAATGCCTGTAATCCCAGCATTTGGGAGGTTGAGACAGGAGGATCATTGTGAGTTTGAAACCAGGCTGGACTACAAAGTGAACTCAAGGCCAGCCTGAACTGCATTGTGAGACCCTGTCTCAAAAAGACTAAATAAATAAATAAATAAATAAATAAATAAATAAATGTGGGATGGGGCACAAAGTGGGCCATGAGCCCAATTGTGGGAATCCTCTACAAACTAGGAATAGGTCTTGGCTAAAAGCCAGCAACAGCAAAAAATGGCAGAACTTAATTTTGCCAATAATCTAAGTGAGCAAGGCAAGGGATTTTCCCTTGGAGCCTCCAGAGAGTAATTCAGCAGCACTGACACCTAGATTTTATCTTGGTGAGACCCATACTAGACTTATGACCCTTGAAGCTATACAATAATAAATTTGGTTGTTTGAAAAGCCTGTTTGTGGTAGCTTGCTATGGCAGTAATAGCAAACTGATACAGTATGGATGGTGAGGATCTAAACTAAGTAGATGAAAAGGAGATGGATCCAGGACCTGCTGCACAGGTTCCAGCAATTGCTACCATGAAAGGGGGTCATCCGGCTCAGTTTTAACGGTTTTGGGATTGGCACTGTGTGTTCAGTGGTGAGAGGGACAAAGACAACTACTTTATAAACACACTGGAGCCTGCAGCTCAATTATGATGGAAAGGTTTGGTTCACTTCTGGCCTCCCCCTCTTTCAAATGTTTAGACAGTACCCTTCTTTACTGGTTGGCAGTGATTTTGTTACTACCAATTGAAAGTTCTAGTTGCTAGGATTATTTTCAAAAGATGAAAAATATTTCCAAAAGATAAGAAGTATAAAATAAAAAGCGGCCTTTATTCTGAGAACATGGAGAGAGATGACTGGCACCCCCATCGCTGGCGTCCAGCGATCTCTCCATCGGACACGTGGCGTGGGGGTGTGTCAATAGCCTTGGTTTGGGGTGGAACCTAAGGCGGGCATTAGGATGCACAGGTAGCCCATTGGTCCTAGGTTTGGCGCTATATGTAAATTTCCAGGGGCGGGAAGATGGCATCACAGGTAACTTCCTAGGGGCGGGGGAGATAGGGTCTTCCTGCTTCCTGTTGAGGCTTTCCTGGCTACAGTGTCCTGTCTGAGCCAAAACCCTTTCATATCCCGTTTTATGATTATTATTATGAAAAGGGGCGAAGATTTCTCTCTTTAACTACTTCCTGCTGGCAGAGGGTGCTGTACTGGAGCCTAGGGGAGTGGACGGGATGAAGGTTGATGCCCAGGTAGATGCTGGTGCCAGGTGTTTTGGCCAGGACAACTTCACTGGTGAATGCACGTATGTTAGACTGGAAAAACAAAGACACAAGATGTTATGAGGAGACATGGCACTGTCATATTTAAGGACCCAGGTGAGGTAGAGGGAAAGTTGCCTTTGATTTAGACATGTTCCACGGTAAGGCACAATTCTGAAAATTAAACATGGGGTTAGGAGGAGTGGAGTTATGAGAGGTGATTACTCCCCCAAGTGAAAGCATAAAAGTTAAGACGGTAGGTGTATAAAACTTGTCTCCGGTCCAGGAGTTGAACTGGAAAAAATAGGGGGAGCAGGGAAGGTGGTGGCTGTACCAGTATAAGGAAGGTAAGGGCTTAGGCTTTTAGGGATGTCACGTTTAACCAGACAGCTGAGGGTAGAAAGAACTGCAACTGTTATCATATAGAGCATTATGAAGATTACCTTACGCATGATGTGGGAGTCTTTAGGAAAGCCTGCCAAGAGTCCTGCTGTAAAAATGATCATTAATAGAATGCAAGAAATTAGGAACCAAAGTGGATAACAAAACATGACTTAGCCTGTTAACTGTGGCTGCGAGGCCTTTGTGAGATGGAGATGGGTAGGCAACAGAAGATGAGATGGCCATTTAGAATGATCAGATTTAGGGCTGGGAGGGCACCTCTTAGCCTGAGTGATGTGAAACCAGGATGGGAGTCCAGCAACTTTGATTTAGGCATGGGTCGCTGTAACCTGGTTGTATCAGCAGTTTACCTGGTTGTGGGAAAGGCTTTTATGTATCCTGAAAAAGTATAAACCAAGTGAGAAGACAAAATGTATCTGTCAGTCTTGACCAGGGTTGTCTGACAAATTGGTGAATAAGAAAGGAAGGGGGTGGGTCTTATATCACTGA